CGATAACATTAAAAATGAACATCTGTCGAAACCAATATGGTGGCCGATATATTGTGCATAAATAGCAGCTGAAATATATAGTTTAATAGTGTTAATTTTAACCTCTAATGTACCAAATATTACCTAGTTTACAGCATTAGTCGGGAGAGATGTTGTTTTTTAATATCAGTCTTTTTAATATCATATTTACATGAAGGTACCAATATGAATGATAAAAATATGAAAATGATACAAAAAGCACAGTCTTCCTACAACAAAGCAAGTTCTCAGAAGAACAGAAATACATTATAGAACATGTGGCGGGTCTATTGGATTGCATGATTTAATGCGCAGATCTATTCTGACATCATATTTATTTGTCCCAACCGTTGCTATGGTTACATCACTGTCAATCATCGCATTTTCCGATCCAATCCCGCATTTAATTACGGTTGTCAACCCAGAAACTTGGCAGCGTGTGGCTAGTAGCATGAGATATTAAACTTTTATTCAAAGTGTGAATATGTAATAAGCAAAGCGAGCAGAGAGCGCTGGCGATCACGTCACAGCTTTTGTTATGCCGCTTGATATTTGCATTATTTTATTGTGTTGTCATGATTATAAACACATTGGTTTGTAAATAGTTTTATCATTTACTGCACTTTGTTATTCTTCTAATTAGTCACCTATAGTCAAGTCTCCTTCATTTATACAGCGCTTTTAACAATATGGAGTTTAACAGCAGCTTTACAGTGATAACAGGAGATTACAGTAACAGAGTGTTTAGGCTTTACAGCAGCTCTAGAATAAAGTTAGTTTTAGCTGGATATATAGCGTCCAATGAATAAAGGCATATTTCACTCCAAAGGAGTGTTTATAGTTTGCTGTAAACCACAGTGAGGCTTGCCTGTAAAGCCCTGACGCTTCTCCTCCTCTAGGTACATTGATAAGTCCGCCGAGGAGCTGGATGAGGAGGTGGAGTACGATATAGACGAGGAAGACTACATCTGGCTGGACATCATGAACGACCGGCGCCGCACTGATGGGGTCGCGCCCATCCTTCAGGAAGTGTTCGAGTATCTGATGGACCGGCTGGAGAAGGAGTCTTACTTTGAGAGCCACAACAAGGTGAGATTTACAGCAGCGCTTTAATGAAGCTTTACTGCCAAACTCTCCAGAAGCCTTAAAGAGGTCCTATAATGCCCTTTCACAAGATGTAAAATAAGTCTGATGTCCCCAGAGTGTGTGTGTGACGTTTTAGCTCAAAATACCCAACAGATATTTTTTATAGCATGTTAAAATTGGCACTTTTTGAGGGTGAGCAAAAACACGCCGTTTTTGTGTGTGTCCCTTTAAATGCAAATGAGCTGCTGCTCCCGGCACAGGGGGCGGAGCTTCAAGAGCTTGTGTGTGTGTGTGTGTGAATTTCAAAAACTTTTAGCCTTTTGTTCAAACTGGAGTCAGACAAAGATGGAGAGACTCTTTGTGGAGTGACTTGTAGAGCAACAGGACATTTCTGAATGGTTAGTTGATGAATGTATGCAGCTGATGTGGAGTTAACTGTCTTCTAGTCATTGATTAGCATATTCTGTCATGATAATCTATAAATCGTGTTCCGGGGGGCGGGGCTTATGTAATTTTTAGGGTTAATGATGACACTAACTCCGTACGAAACGAAATGTCGTTCAGCTGTGTACATGTATACGGAACAATGACAATAAAGCTTGACTTGAATAAGGGCTAGTGCGTTGGCTGCGATATACGGGAACCTACTAACATCCGTTACCATTATGATTGGAACGACTTGTCGCAAGAGGAAAAAAAGACGTTTTAGGTGCATAACATTCGGTTAATGGGAACGCCGTCATTTCGCAATAGTTTTAATCGACATATATGGCAAAAGTTTTGCGCAAGTCTGTAATAGAAAGGCAGATACTGTGAGAAAAGAAAAAAAAAAGTGTTTTTTGACTTTGGATGCTTGTAAACCTAATGTAAGAGACTCAAAAACAAAATTAGGAAGCTTTAAAATAGCACTTTAAAGGTGCTCTACGTAACTTTTAGCGGCCTCTAGTGGTGATGTTTCAGATTGCAACCAAATTTTACAAGAGTGCTCGTGCTCAAACTCATAGACAATACCGTCTATTACGCAAATTTCTCGGCGAATACTAGACGGATTCGGCGAGCACCGAGCTCGTTGGGACCATCTAGTCGAGCTGAAAAGAACCGTATAAGTTCCATAGTTTTTGGTGGTGTTTTCGCGGAGATATGAGCAGAAAACCATCGGGCGCGCTGCAAAATTGCGGACGCCGGTGACGTCACGATCTCAGAAGAAAATCGCTCGCATCTCTGGAACGCAAAGACCCAGAGAGCTCAAATTCGGGGGAGGAGGTCCCAGGGGAACCCTTGCCCGAACGCGGGCCTCGGGGATCCCCCCTACCGGATCGCCGTTCGCTGGGACCCCCGATTTCGAACGGCTATAACTCGGGGAGCCGGGCGAGTTGGACCTCGGGGGTGGGCTCGTTCGAAAGGCCCCGTCCAGCACTACGAACTATCAGAGTCTTGGGAATATTGATCAAAGATTGACTGAGATATAAGCCGAAAAACGTGCGCCTTTAACCGGACGTAACTCCCTGACCGTCTACAATAGACTGTATATAAGGAGAGAGGCTCGGGAGCGCGCATGCACGTCACATCCGTTGGATTTCGTGGTAAATCCGACCCGGAGACTTCACATAGAAATAGGAATACTGGCCTTCAGAGGTAATAGCAAAACTCGACAAGTGGATCATTTTAATGTGTGATTACAACCCCTTCACACACAGGCAATAAAAAAAGGATTCATTTTAGTAGAAAAGTTACATAGAGCACCTTTAACCCTTGTGTTATGTTGCGGGTCAATTTGACCCGTTTCGATTTTCAAGTTGTTGGAAATACTGGTTAACCTTTGTTTTTTTTCTTGATATTTTGTGACTTTTTCTCATTTATCATGATGAACATGCATGCAAAGTTTCAACATGCTGATGTGTTTTGACATATACAAACAAAATTACTGTTACGTTCGTGATGTTCGCGGGTCAATTTGACCCTCATAGACAGCCATTCAAAAGCAACTGTACAGACACAAAATAAAAACATTTATTTTCTGTATGTCAGGGCACTTCAACTCCAGTTCTAACGTGCAAGTGCATCTAAAAGTGCTCTAACCCTAACCAAACACACTTGAAAAAGATAAAATTACAGTGTTCAGAATTATTTGCAAATTACAGATGAAAATCTTTGTCAGACACAGATAGTAAAATAAGCTCTCATTGCAATATTCAAAATATCTAAAATACCTAGCTTTTAACCAAAACTTTTATGTAGGATTTTCAAAGGCAGCTTCACAGAGCCAAAAAATAAATTAAAAACATTTATTTGATGTATGTTTTTGTTATGTTTGGTTTCTCACTTCCCAGTGAGTGAATAATGAAACTAGGGAAATAGGTCTTAGGAAACTAGGGAAAGTTAACTTAGGAAAATGAAAAATTTTCATTATACAGCAATTTTTTTTTGTTCAGTTACGATGTTCAAAGCATAAAATGTAAAAAAAAAAAAAGGAAAAAAAAATATATGCAAAAAAAATCAGTATACTGTTTATTTTTCAATTTTGTCAAAACAAAACTGTTTTAAAAAATGTTTTAAAAACATTTTCATAAATCATATTTTCAGATATAATGTTTTTGTAATGTTTGACAAATGCTGATATTAAAAGTTTACAGTTTGTATCTAAATATTTGTTGTTTTTAATAGTGTGGTTTTTGAGGAATTGTATTGAATCCAATTAGGGTCAATTTGACCCGGTCCATAAGGGGAGTGCACAGAATTCGAACAGAACACAAGGGTTAAGGTTGAGCATGTGTGTTGTCCACCAGCGTTCGGATGATTCCTCACGTCGTGTGTGTTGCGGAGAGCGTGCTGCTTCTTTAATGAAACATCAGATGAACTGTTTTTACCAGAAAACAGCTGAAAAACCCACAAACACACACTGAAAGAGGAACTTGAGCCACACTAACGGACCAGTGTTTTTAACAACATCTTCACAATAACACCCTAGCGTAGTGAAGGCACGTTCTGCACACACCAGACAATGTATAAACCCAGTTTAATCGGGCAACAACAGGACATTGTTCAATGATGTTTAAATGGGAAGCTGTGTAAAAGAGCTTTGTTTTATTGTGTATTTAAAAGAGCAGATTAAACTTTCAATTCTTACTATCAAAACGTCATAATGACAGTATTTGTTTGTGGCATACAAAGCTAAAGCAGATTTGGATGATATTAGCGCTTTTCGATTATCGCAGTCGTTTTGGGCAATGATGACATCATGATTATTAACACAATTGCTTATTGACAAATGTCATGTTAGGTTTGGGCGATATGACCATGTATTTTTTGTTCTTGATAATGATATACATCATAACACAGTTGAGGGTTTTCCCTGGGTCAGGAATGGTTTTCGGTGGTGGCGGACGAACACGTGAACAAGCCCAGTGCCGACTATACATCCAAGATAATCTCATTCGGTTTATTAAAATAATCATTGTCAGGACAGATCATAACACAATTGTGCAGGTCTAAAAAGTTTCCAGTGTCTCTGCTATTTTTCCCCAGAAGTTATGACTGATAAAAATGTCTTTGTATTCTTTAAAACTAAAGTTGCGACTGTCTCATAACCTCCTCACTCAAGGTGTTGCTGCCTCCGGTATGTTGTTGTTGTTGTTGTTTCTCTCTTTAGTTTTGTTTACTATGGTGAGACTATGGTGCCACCTTGTGCAACCAACTGATTTGTACAAAACAAATTTAAAGGGATCATTCACCCAAAAATTAAAAAAACCCATGATTTACTCTCCTTGAAGTCATCCTAGGTGTGTATGACTTTCTTCTTTCAGACGAACACAATCAGAGTTATATTAAAAAAATGTCCTGGCTCTTCCAAACTTTATAATGGCAGTGAATGGAGGACGAGATTTTGAAGCCCAAAACGCGCGCGCACACACACACACACTCTCACTCACACACACGTCTGGTTCGCTATCTTTGTGTATCTTTGTGTCTTCTTACACTAACCCGACCCCTAAACCTACCCATCACACACACACACACACACTAACCTGACCCCTAAACCTACCCATCACACACACACACACACACTAACCTGACCCCTAAACCTACCCATCACACACACACACACACACTAACCCGACCCCTAAACCTACCCATCACACACACACACACACACTAACCCGACCCCTAAACCTACCCATCACACACACACACACACACTAACCTGACCCCTAAACCTACCCATCACACACACACACTAACTCGACCCCTAAACCTACCCATCACACACACACACACACACTAACCCGACCCCTAAACCTACCCATCACACACACACACACACACACTAACCTGACCCCTAAACCTACCCATCACACACACACACTAACTCGACCCCTAAACCTACCCATCACACACACACACACACACTAACCCGACCCCTAAACCTACCCATCACACACACACACACACACTAACCCGACCCCTAAACCTACCCATCACACACACACACTAACTCGACCCCTAAACCAACCCATTACACACACACACACACTAACCCGACCCCTAAACCTACCCATCACACACACACACACACACTAACCTGACCCCTAAACCTACCCATCACACACACACACACACACTAACCCGACCCCTAAACCTACCCATCACACACACACACACACACTAACCCGACCCCTAAACCTACCCATCACACACACACACACACACTAACCTGACCCCTAAACCTACCCATCACACACACACACTAACTCGACCCCTAAACCTACCCATCACACACACACACACACACTAACCCGACCCCTAAACCTACCCATCACACACACACACACACACACTAACCTGACCCCTAAACCTACCCATCACACACACACACTAACTCGACCCCTAAACCTACCCATCACACACACACACACACACTAACCCGACCCCTAAACCTACCCATCACACACACACACACACACTAACCCGACCCCTAAACCTACCCATCACACACACACACTAACTCGACCCCTAAACCAACCCATTACACACACACACACACTAACCCGACCCCTAAACCTACCCATCACACACACACACACACACACTAACCTGACCCCTAAACCTACCCATCACACACACACACTAACTCGACCCCTAAACCTACCCATCACACACACACACACACACTAACCCGACCCCTAAACCTACCCATCACACACACACACACACACACACTAACCTGACCCCTAAACCTACCCATCACACACACACACTAACTCGACCCCTAAACCTACCCATCACACACACACACACACACACACTAACCCGACCCCTAAACCTACCCATCACACACACACACACACACTAACCTGACCCCTAAACCTACCCATCACACACACACACTAACTCGACCCCTAAACCTACCCATCACACACACACACACACACTAACCCGACCCCTAAACCTACCCATCACACACACACTAACCCGACCCCTAAACCTACCATCACACACACACCCACACACACACACACACTAACCCGACCCCTAAACCTACCCATCACACACACACACACACACACACTAACCTGACCCCTAAACCTACCCATCACACACACACACTAACTCGACCCCTAAACCTACCCATCACACACACACACACACACACTAACCCGACCCCTAAACCTACCCATCACACACACACACACTAACCCGACCCCTAAACCTACCCATCACACACACACACACACACACACACTTACCCGACCCCTAAACCTACCCATCACACACACACACACACACACACTAACCCGACCCCTAAACCTACCCATCACACACACACACACACACACACACACACACACTAACCCGACCCCTAAACCTACCCATCACACACACACACACACTAACCCGACCCCTAAACCTACCCATCACACTCACACACACACACACACACTAACCCGACCCCTAAACCTACCCATCACACACACACACACACACACACTAACCCGACCCCTAAACCTACCAATCACACACACACACACACTAACCCGACCCCTAAACCTACCCATCACACACACACACACACTAACCCGACCCCTAAACCTACCCATCACACACACACACACACACACACACACACACACTAACCCGACCCCTAAACCTACCCATCACACACACACACACACTAACCCGACCCCTAAACCTACCCATCACACACACACACACACACACACACACTAACCCGACCCCTAAACCTACCCATCACACACACACACACACACACACTAACCCGACCCCTAAACCTACCCATCACACACACACACACACACACACTAACCCGACCCCTAAACCTACCCATCACACACACACACACACTAACCCGACCCCTAAACCTACCCATCACACTCACAC